CAGAAAATCCGCGGAGCTCGCAGCAAAAGCGGGAATTTGGTTGGGAAACCCGCTAATTTCGCAGTACAACCGGCGAATTTTAGAAGAAAATCAGCAGACTGAATACCCAGGTTTTCAGTTACACGTTTTTCACCTACAAACGAAAATATTTTAGGAATCTTACAAATTGCTTTTGATTTCAGCAGCAGCGGAGTCTTATGCCAGGAGAGATGAGTAACAACCTATAGTTGGTGCTACTGGCAGCAAGGCTCACTGTTAAGCTTCCTAGCTGTCATCATTCATAACAGATATTTCCCTCCAACACAGAAAAAAACCTTCTCTGTCCAAACCATTTAGCCAAAACTACTGGAGAAGATGCCTTGAGCAATTTAGACTAGATTGCACATGATCATGAAGCAGCTTTAAATGTCTCGCTCTGTTAAAAATCTCACGCCCGCCTTCTTTTTGTACTTGAAGGACACACGATCTTCTTTTATATCTGCTGTGACTGTTTGGGTTGGAAAATTTGCCTCGATTCAGCCAGGTTGTAAATCTCTTTTGAACGGTCAGTCAAGATGCCAATAGAAAATTTGAAAGGATGGAGGGAAGAGTCTCCAGCAGCCGGTGGAAGAAGCACTGAGTATCTCCTCGCTCAGCCAGGAGCTCTTCTCCTGCACAGGGAATGAGAAAATAACATGCAATTGCAACACTCTATATTCTTACAATTGACTTCCCACAGCCTTACCATTTATAGTATTTTCTTTACATTTATAGTGTCTTCTTTAATGTCATGCCCGTGTTGGACCACTTTCCATTTTAGTAAGTTCTGTGTTAGGGTTTGTTTGAATTTCAAACTTCTAGATTTGTCTTCTGCTGTAGGCTGGAATGTTTGAAGTATTAAAAATTCAGAACGTGGCACCAGGGAGAGTTAACTAAAAGGTTCAAGGGTGTTTAACTGGCTTGAAAACTGAACAGTGAATTCTAGGTAGAAGAAGGGAGAAAAGTCACTGAGAAGTTTTGAACACTAGTGGTCAGTCTATTGAAAATTTCTCCTACTTTTGAAAATACTTTTTAAAGGGAAGATGATTTACAGTAACTCTTTCCGGAAATTAAAACAGAATAAATTTTCATGATTAATTAAACAATGATTGTTCAAATATTATTCTGTTCTTAATTTGAGGGAGGGTCCCCTGTCTTTCACTTTACACAATCATGTCTTGCAGTGCCTTATACAAATATAATGAGACATCAGACACTTGACCATAATGATCCTTTTCAACTTTATGGGGCACTGAGAACTACTCCACAGATGAACATTACCTGCCTTAAAACAGGGGATGTTTGTGGACTCGATGGTGAGAATACACAAGCTTTTCATATTGTTCTCAAAGGGCAACAATTCCAGTCCCACGTCGGTGAAATTTTGGTTCACAGCCAACAAACCCAGCTGGCTTGTTTGATTTCTAAGACTCTTGGCCGTGGAATCATCACTGCCATAGACGGTGCTGGCATCAGTGAAGGAGCTGACGGCTTTGATCTTCTCACGAGTCAACATTCTGGGATTGCGCATGGATGCCAACTGGAGGAAGGGCATGCAAGAGTTTGTCCTGAGCATCCGTGGGTCATCAGGGGGGAACTAGAGCAAACGAACGTAAGCGATACCTCGAAGTTGTGTGGTTTTATTTTTACTGTGTTGAGATAGCATGGGTTGCAATGAATCTGGGGGTTACCTTAGTAGGGAAGCAAGGCGGGTTGAAGGCACAATCGGTCTCACAGTGAAGCTCCGGGCTCGCTCCTGCGCCGCTGGCAGGGGCCAAAGTCTATGTCATGGTTGACCCACTGGCTCCAGTGCATGAAGAAAAGAGAGAACTTTTGATCTTGAGTGATGTTCTCGTTGGCTGTGAAAGCGATTTCATTTGATACTTTTCAAACCTTGAGAAAATCAAAACTAAAATGAGTGTGACCATCTCTACCACAGTGAATTTACCCCCACTATGAGATCATGCATAAAATGAGCTCAGATAAGTTCATGAGAGTTAATGATGGCATTGAGCAGATCCATGCCACACCTGGGCTCTATCAAAACAGATGTGATGAGTAGCACCCTCATTCAAACCAAGCCCAGCTCCACAGAAAGGCTCCTACAGCTAAAACCGATGCAGGTGAACACATTCAGAAAGTCAAGGGGATGGCTGAGGAACACAAAAGCCTTATGGTTCACATATACATCCTGCTGTATCTGAGCACACTTGCTCAGAGAAGTATTCACAATTTTTTTGCTCGTGTCCGTTTCCAGCAAGAAAATATCACCACAAGCCGTAGCTCAGTGGTAGAAAACAAGCCTCAAATCAGCACCTGAGATCAGAGGAGAGGACCAAGTAATTTACACTCTAGGTGGTGCCACTGTTTCATTTCTGATGGATGCAGTGAAAGAAGCGTCTGCTCCTGTTACGTAGATAAAATCTCACCAGCGGGAGTGGAAATCCATTGTAGAGCTTTCCTTCACTTGCTCCTCTGGGAACAGACACTCCATCTTCATACTCTGCTGGGAGCCAGCGAGCAAAGGCACGGTTCGAGGATCCCCAGTGAGAATGCTTTCTGGAGCAGCACAAGAAGAAAAGCAAGTACAGCATTATTTCAGAAATGCTGAAGTGAGACACTGAGTGAGAGGCTGGCTGTCATAGTCCCCAAGTCTGCTTTCCTCAACTTTTCACCTGCCCCCACCCCAAGAACTCCCTTCCTTCATCCAAAGCAGCACATAGAGGGCTCAGATCTGAAGTTTGCAAGAATTGATTTCTTTTTCCTGCTGGGCATGGGTAGGAACGAAACATCAGGTACAGGCATCACTAAAATGATAATTTTGCTCTTCTTACTCTGTTGAAAGGTGCTTACACAAATGACTTTAAGCCATCTATCTTGGGTCAAGGTACAGACTTGAGACTCTCCTTGTCCAGACACAAATCATACCTGTTGTTGCACTCCCCAGAGATGGTCCGGTAAGTGTCATGCTTCGGGCATTTAATGGAACGAACCTGATAGTCACAGCCAGTCCATTTGATAATCATATTCCTCTGCTTTCTGTCTAGCAGGTCTGCAAGAGAAACCATGCAAAATAACACCTGCTCATAGCCATTTTTGGTTTAGCTTCTCAGTATTCTGGATCAAGGTTTGAGTCAGCAGAGACACAGCTGTGGATATGTAACATCTGGATTCGAGTTGTTCCTTCGGTGGCTGAGCTCTCACCTCTGGGCCAGGGAAACTGGGCTGGCATGAAACATCTTTCCAGGGGAACATGAGGAGTGTCATCAATCCCCAGCAGTGCATTTTGTCCCAGGGTTACCACACTTATCTTTAGCCTTTTGATCGTCAAACATATAAGGCAGGCCAAAGATGGTGAATGAAATATACTGGCTGGTCTGGTCTGCTTTTGAGCATGCTTCAAGTCTATTCACCTGGGGCTGAGGAAGAGTTTTACCACCAAGTGTTTGGATCATGGCAGAGCTTTTTTCTGCTGGGGTAGGTTTTCTGCTCTTAGCTGTTTGTAAGACATTTTTGGTTTCAAGCACGTTACCTGTAACATTGAATCTCTGTTTCCCACAGGGCTGCAGCGTTTTTTTGAGGAGTTTCAAAGTGGTTTCCAAGTAATCGGCAGCACGGACTGCAGATCTTGTTCTTCCTACTGGGTCCTTTAAGTACTTCAGGAAATCCATTGGGTTGGCAACTTTTTCCTCTAGTTTTCCTTTTAAGCTGAAAAGAATCCCATGAGTTGTTTTCTCTGAAATCAGACCTACTCTGTCATGCTAGGCTGGGTGTACCTAGAGGTGACAGCAGTGCTGGGTCCCAGGGAGGCTCTGCTCAACTAGGACAAGCTGGCTGCTCATCAGCTTTGCACATCATCCCAGATCTGAGCAAGCAAATAATTGCCATTCCCTACTTCAAGTTTGCATTATGCCCTTGTTGCAAAAAATGTTGTTATGCCATGTGAAAAGCTAGATCAGTGAAAAACCGAGTTATTCAGTGATTGAGTAAAATTTTTCATTTACTATGTCACAGATATATTCTGTGAACAGAGAGACAGCCTTGGTACTGTTGTATCTCTTCCCAGTCCCACAGTTCTTTCATGTGGAATGAAAAAGCTTCCATAGGGTAGGTGTCAAAAGATTCCTCCCCAAAGCATCCTGCTGCCAAGAACCAGCAATTTGGGACAATACTCTGAGACATAGCTGGGATTTGACTTCCCCTGACACTGGTTTGTGACAGAGTGCCCACTCACCACCCTGTGGTCCTTCCAGAGAAGGGCAGAACTTCAGCAGCCAGGAGAGGACTCAACCTGTGTCCAGCGTGCCCATACCACTGTGGTACTGCCAAGAGGTGCCCGTGGCAGTGTAGGTGAGGAGTCAACAACTGCAGGTGATGAAGGAAGGACCTGGGACTGAGATGGGGCACCAGAATCCAGCCAAACTGGGCAAAATGATCTCTCCAGCTGTGACAGGGAGAACCCTTGGATAAACGCATATCCATAATAAATATGCGTTGGAAAATGGAAGAAACACATGCATTTTCTCTTATTTCCTTATGATGTTGAGGTCCTCATGCAAAAACGACTCACCTTTTCCGGGCATGTAAGTATGCTGTGTCTACCAGCTGCTTGGCCTCACTAATGCTACTTACAAGAGATAAGTCTGACAGCGCCTCTGAGTCCTCTACTAGAAAAAAAAAAAAACAAAAAAAAAAAAAAGAAAGAAAGAAAAAGGAGAAATTGAAGATCGTTTGTGAAGTACCCAAGAACCTCAGGAGCTACACATCCCACCCCACTGCTAGATCCTGAGCTACACTGACAGTTCACTGTGTGTTCAGGGCTACCTGGACAACTTTATCTCTGTTTCTCTTGCTCATCTGTTTCACCCCATTGCCGAGGTCCTGAAAGTCACTGGACAAGAAGTGACAGCAAAATGATAGCTTATTGCCCATTTCAAAGAATTGGCTCTGATGGCTTTGTGAGGCTTTTAGAGAGTTATTTTTTGCCCATCTTTTTGAAAGCTATCCTTCCCTGTGAGAAGGGAAAGGCACAGAAGCAGCCAAATATATGGTCTCTAACCCAATTTCCCTATCATAAAACGACGAACGTGTGCTTGGAAGACCTATTGGTTAAGTAGGCAATTTCCCTAGACAAGTTTCTTAGATATTGATTTAATTGTCAGTGGGTCAATCTATAGGATATTTCAGATTTACACTGGAACTATACCTAACCAGGACCTCAGACCAAGGTTTGACTCACACCGTTTCAAGCACAGAAGAAGCCAAAAGAAAACCAAAAACTTACTGTTTAATGAGTTCGCTGTCTCAGCTAAGCAGAGAGTGATGAAGGCTCCTAAGAGAGTAATTCTTGGGTTTATGCCTAGAGAGAAATGCAACATAACTCCTCTGAACGGGCTGGGCTTCACTGAAGCATCAGAAGAGATTGGTCTGAATATTTCTTTCAGGATCCAGGAATGAAACACAACACCCCCCTGATCCAGCCCATCGATGGGTGCACCGGCCAGTGAGGGCTGTAGATGCTGGCAGGACACAGGGACATCCCTGCGGGGTGGGGACAGTCAGTAAACAGGGCTGAGAAACCACTGAGGAGGAAGGCAAGTGCAGCCGAGGCTTCAGTGATGGAGACAGTTGGAAAGGTGGGCTGGAAGAGGGCAATGTCCTGGTGTCCTGCCTTTGGGAGGGTCCTTCTCAGGTGGCTGCTGTAAAGGAGGTGAGAGCTCACCCATCCCTCTCCACCCTGTTACCAAGCAAAACAAGCACTAGCCCTCCAGTCTTCCACCACTTCTGTTTGTCTTCTTGATGCTCCCCAAAATTTGTCTGTATTCCTTTTTCACATTAACACGTATCATCTGTTCTCATTAGCATTACTTTCTCCCTGAAAGGAGCTCTTCAGCCAAAAGGTTGCAATTAAGTATATTTTATGTAATTTAGTCAATGTTTTTACTGTTGAGAACAGGAAAACCAGACAAAAATATGGAAGAACTAAAAAATTCCTTGTAACAGGGCAGGTCAGCTCCTATTTCCAATCTGTGGAAATCCCTCAACCGTCTTCACAGGGATTGAAGGCTGCTTATTCTTTCAAATCTTATGTTGCAGGATATCGCTACACGAGGCAGAAAAGCTGTCTTTTCTTGCTTTTCAAAATAAATGAATTGCACTTACAGAGGGAGAAGAAAGAACGAAGGTCCACCAGTTCTTAGTGCTCTACTCTTTCTCCTCATCTCCCCGAGTTCACTCACAGAATGTACCAACATCAATGCCAAAAATACCAAATCAGTCAAATATATAAATGTAAAATTAAGTTATTTAAAATATAAAATCAAAACCCACTGACCTTACCTGCCATCTCTGCAGAGCTGGTAGGGCTAGGAAACAAGCCAGTCCTTTATAGCACCTGCAACAGGGCAGAAATTAGGCTGGTCTGACCTAGGTGTGGCCAAAAAAGGAAAAACCTGGGGCCAGATTGAGCCAAAAGGAAATATCTGCTGGTTTGCTTTCCTAGATTAGACAGAAAGGTGCATACTTCTCCATTCTTGCTGACTGAACATTGACTTCTTTGATAAATCCATAAAAAAGGGAAAAAGAAAAGGTACAAGTTTCTTTTCTGAGTGAAAATTTTATGATGGTGAAAGAGAAAGGTGAAATTTGGTTTCTTTCTTCCTGTTGGTTGATATCTCTGATGGTCTGGGAAGCCAAAAATGGGTCATTTTGCCAACATACGTCTGTGGAGTGTTCTGAAGTCCAGATGCAGCATGTCTGAATGATGGAGCTGCCAAAATTTGTATCCAGGAAAATCAAAGTTGTGTGCTCCATAAAATAGCTTGGTGAGATGGGATGTGGAATTAGAGAGTTGTCATATCATCAGTGATTTGGAAATGCATATAAAATAACTGGCCACCGTTGTGGATGACAAAGACTGGACGAAGAAGAAGCAAGCTCCAGCTGTGTCCAGTAAATTCCTGTGCATAGTAACATGGACAACTGCCAAGTTATTTCTGTTGCAAATAAGGACAGGCCAGAGTTGCAAAATGGGAGATTCCATCCTGAAATGTCTAGAAAGAAAAAAGTGTTGGGCCAGCCAAACCCTTCAATGTGACTTGCGACAGCTATACAGCAGGAAAAAGGGCTGTACTTCAGTGGACATTTGGGAAGGCAGCAGAAACGAGAGTTCTCAGATCTGACCACAGAAGATAATGCTGAATTCTTACGGACAATCAGATGTGTAAACCTCGTAAGATTAGGTAGCCAATTCTTCTTGCTCTTTAAATATTTTCACAGTTCCCATTAAGCCAAAATAAATAAAATGAAATTATGAGAAAGGAAACGGTTAACAGACCTTTGGCACTTTAAATCTGAGGGAGAGAAAAAAAAAGTTTGTAAGAGTTAGGTTTTCAGAAGCCAATGATACAGTTTAACCCCTAAGGCGAAATTCAAAATCAAAAGCAGAAGCTGGCCCCTCGTGCCAGAGGGACTCTAATCACCTCGTCCAGCCAACTTTCTACCTACAAGAAGCACATAAGCAAAAGCCCAGGTGCCCAAAGGGTGATTTTACTTTTTCTTTTGTATTTATGATACTTCCCATTGCAACTGCATTAGTGCCTCGGTGACAAGTCTCTAAAGCCCTGGTTGCAGGGACACTGTCTTGATCGTTGTATTACAACCAGTGAGAGACTTAAGTGCTGATTTATGGTCAGGACAAAGTGTCTTCAACACTGCACCAGGTAATGGGACGCAGAAGTGGATGGTGACCACCATGTCCTGGGTCCAGCAAAGCTGGCATTCGAGCAAGGCAGTCGTTATTTTCTGAAACTAAGAGTGAAAACTTGCAAGTAGACACAGAGCCTGAACAGTTCTTTGAGGGAGAATAATGTGTATCATGTTAGACCTTGTGGTTTTCTATATTGCGAAATATTGGGAAGTGCCATTTATTACAAGAGCTGTCAGAACTCAGACTTTAAACACATCCTGTTCTTTCTACTAGGCAAGATCGTTTTACCTGTAAACATCAGAGGCATTGTAGATGAAAAGAGATGTTCACTGCTGATGACACAAGATTAGATAAGAAAAAAAGTCAACAGAAACAGCCCGGCTATGAGGAATATTGCGTCATCCTGACAGTCACCTTTTCCTCCTTTCTCCAAATCATCTCTTCCAAAAGAGAGGCAGCAACCGGTGAAAACCACACAAGGCTGCAACACCATCCTGCCAGCTACAGGAGAAGACATGGCCTGGTCTGTGTGTCAGACTGCCTCGGTTAGCGAAGTCTGGGCCTGATTTCACAGAGGCAGATGTATGTATACCAGGGGGAGAGGGAGATGGAGGAGGCTGAGGTATTCCCAAACTAGGGAAGGAAGGTGGGGATGGTCGTCCAGGGATACGTCTCCTGCTGGAAAAGGAGATATGAGATGAGATGGGATCTAGGCCTCCCACCATGTCTGTCTCCCACGTCACCACCAGTGACATTGTGACTGGTGTCCAGTTCCCTTTACTAGGGCTTCTGGGGTGCTGATGACCACACCACCCTTGGCTCTGTGCGGGGCAGGTGGCAGCAGCAGCAGCAGTCGTAACCGTGCTGGGTGTACAGTGGGGACCAGGATGGCAAAGCCCAAGCCCCGGGTGGGACCAGGTCCCGTTCCGTCCCCGGGGGCAGGGTGACAGTCATGGGATCCTGCGGAGACCACCTGTGCCAGCTGCTGCGATGGCTGAGCGGTGAAGGCGTTGGGCTTGAAATCCAATGGGGTTTCCCTGCGCAGGTTCAAATCCTGCTCACAGCAGGAACTTTTACTGGCAGCCCCTGCCCTCCAGTCCCTGGGAGGGACAGACAGACACAGACCTGTCACTCCTCATCCAGGGCCCCTGCATTCC